TTTTTTTTTTTTTTGTATTGGGGATCAAACTTGGGACCTTGCACTTGCAAGGCAGGTGGCAGCACCACTGAGCTAAATCCCTGGCCCTCTACACATTAATTTTAAAAGCAACATTACGCCAATTCTTTTAGTTTTAAAAGTCAGTACTGCATTTATGTTCACATTTGAAAAATCTTATAATAGTTCTATCTTTATGTATTAAATACTGTGCTAACAACAAAACAAGCACATAAGGGCTTGTAAACCATGGGAACCTTTGTTGCTGGCAGATAAAGTTCCTAAAGCTGCAGGGACAGCCTTTTTGAGGGGTGCCGAGCAGTGAGGCAGAGGCCGCCATTGAGAGCAGGTACATGTGCGCTGTGATGCACCTGACAGGCAGAACAATGCAGGTTTCTGCCTTAGCCGCCACCCATCTCCTCAGTGATTTAAGGAGCTAGTAGCATAAGTGCATGTGTACAGTTTTCACGTAAAGTCTCATTTTTCACAGGTCTGTTTCTACATAGAGTGTATATGAAGCTATATAAATATCAATCTAAGAAATATCTTGGAAAATCAGTAAACAGTATGAAATTCATCAATAAAACTTATAAAATAACATTTAAATATGCACCAGTTAATAATAAAAATAGTTACACTACACAACACAGGCAAATCTGCCCTAAGAGCTGTTTTTTTTTGGAGGTGGATTTTTCATCAAATCATAATAAGTTCAATGGAAAGTCCAGTTCCTAGGTTCTGAGAAGTCCGATTCAGTAGCTCATAGTGACACCAAAGTTAGGTTATTTGTTGTATTAAATTAATTAATGACCACAAGACATGGCAAAGAAGACTTTTTAAAAAGGAGAGCCATAGACACTCATAGATAATTTCGCTTCCACAGAGATGCTGTGGGGTGGCTCAGATCAGCCCACCACTGCCTGAGCAGAGCAGCGTAACACATTCAATTTTGGTGCAGAAATCCCAAGCTCCCTTTCCCCACAACAAATGAGGCACTGACATTCTGCGTGGCGATGCTTGTGTTTTTCTCATTCTTCCATGAATACTTGTGTTACTAGGTAGAAAGGAGAGTGCCAGTCTGTTGTATTTCTCTAATGATCACCATGTGATTTATACTCCTTTCAACCCTCTTTGGATGTTTCAGGTTCTTCCACCACTCACTATTATTACACCAACAAATCACATTTCCTGCATGTGTTCTCCCTGGGCTTCTATTCCCTTTAGTTTTGGGTTTTGTTTTTGTTTTTTTGGGTTTTTTTTTTTTCATGTCTTTAGGAACTTTTTTTCCTAGAGAAACACTAGTTTTTAACACCAGTTTATGTATGTCAGAAAGAATTTAGACAAGTTTTTTTTCCTTTAGCAGATAAAAAAATTGTAAAGACCTTAGGTATTGAGAGAGCATTCAAATAAAACCTTTAAATAAATCTTTTGAATAAAATCTGCTTCTTCAAAAGAGCTAAATAGGGCCAGGGATGTAGCTCAGTGGTGCCACACCTGCCTGGTAAGCGCAAGGTCCTGAGTTAGATCACTGGTACAGGAAAAGAGAGAGAAAAAAAAAGAGCTAGATATTAAATAAATAAACAAATAATGTTTCTTTTAACTATTGTGTTTCAGTTAACATTTTATACTCTTGTTAACATTTTACATATTGTTTCTGTTCAACCAATTTCAGAACTTCATGAAAAAGTTGAGTGGTTGGCTGGGTAATAGGGTAACACAATGGAAGTCTCTTTCTCAAGGCTGGCATGTGGATAAAGTACCTGCAAATGATGAAAAGAAACAAAATAGCTTTAAAAACAGGACTTTTCACATTGGTCTGTCAGTACCTTCAGACTCACAGGCACAGGGTTGTGGGTGAGTCTGAGCCACAAGACTCAGTCAACATTTCCAACCCCAGACTCCCCCATTTGTGACCTAGCAAATCTCTGATATGTGTGCCTTTCAGCTCACTGGAACACTCTAGCAAAGGAAGTGAGCTTCATTAATAATGTAGCAGTCATCAAAGCACTAAGGAAGCCAGAACAGTCTTCACCACAGCATGAGCCCAGGCTCCTGCTTTCTGGTTTCTCAGGCCCTGCACAGTGGAGAATTGAAAGTGCCAAGCCATGGTGACCACAGGGCTGAAGCCAGAGGAAAGGGGAACGTTTGTCTCCAGGGCTTCAGTGACAGTATAGGAAGGGCTAGAGAAGAGAAAAAAGTGAGATTAGTCGGTCATCCCCTTGGATGGCTTAAAAGAATCATTCTAAACCCCGGGTACACATTTAGAATCACCTGGAGAGTTGCTTTGTTTTGTTTTTAACATAACTACCCCTAGAGGAAGGGAGTAAGAGTAGGGGGAGGAGGGTGTAAGAGAAAGTTATGGAGGGTGCAAATGATGAAAATATGTTATATGGGGCCAAGGGTGTAGCTCAGCAGGGGCATAGTGCCTGCCTGGCAAGTGCAAGGCCCTGAGTTCGAGCCCCGGTACCCCAAAAAATGTTATATGTATGTATGAAAATACATTGAAATCCACTTTTTTGTAAAATTAATAGGCATTAATAAATTATATATTTAAGAAAATGTCACTACCCAGGCCGCACCCCAGAAAAACAAACAATTTCTACATGAGAAACCCGATGTGGGTGTCAGCAGCGTTAATGGTTACTCGGGTGATTCCAATGCAAAGTGAATCGAAAAATCACTAGTTCACAAGGACCACATACCTAAATGCACACAAAGAATGTAAATTAGAAAGAAAAAGCAAAAGAGAGGAGATGGCACCAATCTAACAGCACATGATCTATTGCTATGGGCACCAGCTAACTGCTGCTATCTGGGAGTGGCACCAGTCATCCTGATCTTTATATTTTCATGTTTTAAAATTGTGTTGTATTATACATGCTACAACATGGGTGGACCTTGAACACATTCTGTTAGGTCTTTTTAAAAAGCCAAACATGAAGGCCACAGGTTGGATCACACGATATAGATGAGATGGTCAGAACAGGGGAATCCACCAAGACAGAAAGCAGATCATGGGTTGCCAGAGGCTGAGGGGAAGAAAGAATAAGCTGCAACTTCTTAGTGGGCACTGAGTTTCTTTGGGGATGAGGAAAATGTTCCGCAGTTCAATAGTAATGGTTGCACAACATTGTGAAGTGTATTAAAAGTTATGGAATTGTACACTTTAAAATGGTGGATTTCGTGCTGTGTGGATTTTTTCCTTAACAAAAAGGATGAAGAAGTGAGGAGGCAGAAGGGATAGGGGGTGGGAACTGGGTTGTTTGAACCAAGTCAGAGGCAAACAAATGCCTTTTATGGTAACCAGAATGGACCCTATTATGTAACAGCACATGGAGGAAAAACAGTCTATAAACAGGGCTGAATTTTTGTAAGATAATCTAAGGCCATAATGTATATCTCCATGTCCTTTTCTGTCTGCATCCAAACTAGTGACAAAGCTATGCTGGCTGCACCCTTTTCATTTTAAGGCAGACACAACCTGAGTTTTTTCCTTAATAGGTGTTAATGCAGGCTGTACAGTGAAGTGTGCTTGGCTTTGCCAGCCTATAAATAGAAGTGAACCCCTGAGGTGCAAGAGAACAAGGCTGGCTGATGAAACCAATGCTGGCTACCGCTTTTTTCTTACTGTTCTTTACTGGGAGTAAGAGAAGGGTAAATGGAACAACAACAACAACAACAACAAAAATCCCTAATAAGTGTTCATTAATTATTCGTCCTTTATCTACTGATTTTTCCCCCAGTGACTCAGTTGAATTCACAGTCTGTATATTTATAATTTCCTTCAGTAAGGTTTGTTAGCCTTAATTATTCACAGTTGGTTAAAATCCTTACTACTTCTGTGAGATGCAGGCTGTAAGAAAGACAGTGAATGAAAAAACATTTCTTCAAAGAGAGCTTGATATTTCAGTGGCCTGAAAATATACTTCAAAAGACAATGGTTCTTAGAATTTCCCCCAAATCCTACCTTACTTCTGATCAAAGTGAAACATTATTAAAAACAAATAGAATTTCCTATTATCACCTAATCTTCTAAATACTGGTCAAAGTTGCAGATTGGCATGAAAACCAAAAAATGAGTAGTTGTATTGCAGCTTAGATGCAGACTTTTTACTTACCTGAATTCTTCACTGTAGTCATTCCTGATATACTCAGCTAGAGTCTTGCTGTACTGCAGGCAGCTCTTGAGGATGTAAAACTGCTGGTACAACAGAACTGCTTGGCAGGGACTTAGCAGCTGAAATGAAGCTGAGAACCCCTTCACCACTCGTTTCACAATACTGGCCACAAAAGTAATCTAGACAAGGAAAATGCAGTTGCATGTAAGCTGCATGCCACCCTCAAGAACCCCTATTTCAGTCAGTCTCACACCTTACACAATGCCATGGTGCTGTTTCTCATTGAAATGGTACTCAGAGACAGCAGATCTTACCACCTGGGGCTTAAGGTTTTTAACTCCATTTAACACCTTATAACCAAGAAAGATAATCAGAGCTAACTGATGTGAAGGTACACACAATGATACTGACAGTTTCTTTGCTTGCAAAGGTTTCATGGGTTCCTGCCCATGCTTTTTAGAACTGAGTTATTATAGAAGGTTTCAACAGTGTTCATGATCTTCCCTTCATCCCTTCAGTCACAGAATTGCCTCATACTCAGTTCAGTTCCTTGGGGGAACCAACTTCTAGTGGTTTATGAAGGAAATTTCCTATGTTTAAGAATCCCAAGGACCCCAGATATTCACCCATCAGCTCATAACAGCACTTACAACCACTATATAGAACAAGTAGGCATCTTGCAGCTTGCACGTACAAGCTCCCATTGCTGTGAGTGAAAACTATGACACTCCTCAAAGTGGGGCTGAGACTGACTGGAGTCTGTGCAGTGTTTAAAGAGCCAACATCATGGGCTTCATCTCTGTTATAATGTAGTTGGCTTTTCTGTTGACATGTGCACCTTCTAGCCAGCTTTTTATAAACATATGCCACAGGGATCTGACAAGAGAATCTAAATTCCACAGAACAGACAGAACGTCACTCTGGACAAACAACTCAGAGCAAGGAACTATGGATGTCTACAGAAGTATGTTCACACATAGAAAGAGAACGCTTCACCACATGTCAAGTCTTCTATTTGCATTAAAATTTAGTTTGGATTACTTCCTTTGGAAGAAATTCTCATTTAAATATATGAATGCATAATGAATGAAGGGAAAATTAATTTGGGGTGTGAGAAGAGAGTAAGGATAAAGCTTTATTAGAATTAATTCAGTGGGGGCTGGGGATCTAGCTCAGTGGTGCTGCTGCCTGCCTCACAAGTGCAAGGTCCCAAATTCAATCCCCAGTACCAAGAAAAAAAAAGAATTAATTCAATGGATAATTTACTGAGCATTTATTATGTGCCTAGCACATAATATATCTCCTACCCTCATGGCACTTTCAGGGTATTGAGAAGGGCATTGTATCATCACAATGGGCTAGTTATGCTATAGTAAGAATCTCTGAAACAAATGCTTTGCGTAAAGCAGCAAAGGTTTGTTACTTGTTCATTTTGTATGCCCCTCGGGTTTCTGGGGCCACTGTTCATGGTAGGACCATGGGCTAGTACAGGAGTCACCATACCAGAAGGAAAAGAGAATGCAAAGAAGCATTCACTGGCTCTTAGAGTGTCTGCCCTGAAATGACAGTGCTGCTTGGGCTCACATTTCATTAGTTAAATTAAAAAGAGAGAGAGACCTCCCCAATTTCAGTAACAGAAGAACAGTTATACCGTGTTCCTAGGAAGAGAAAGAGCCAGAAAACACGTGGCCACTAGTGGCTACCACAGAGCAGACCATATAATATAAATATGAACTGTAACCATGACAAGTTCTATGAAGGAAAGAGGAGGACATCCTGCTATGCACGATGTCCCCCTGGATGGGGAAACTGACCTAGTGAGAGGACTCAGTAAATCATCCTCTGCCTCCCTATCCCAGGAAGGGACACAGGTCGGAAGGATGAGTTGGTGTTAATCAGGAGAGAAAGGAGGGAAGAGTATTCCAAACGGAGATTGTTTAGGCAGGAATATTTTCCCCAAAGTTCATGTGTTAGAAGCTTAATCCCCAGTGCAACAGAGTTAGGAAGTGATGCCTGACAAGAGGCTGTGCCTGCATAAATGAATTAATCCAATGGATCCCCACTGGAGTGGCTTCAGTACTGCAAGAGTTATAAAGTCTAGCTTGCCCCCTGACCCTGCATATGCTGTCTTTACTGTCACCAGATGCAGCCCCTTAATCTTGGAATTCCTAGCCTCCTAAACCCTAAGATACATAGATATCTCTATAAATTACCCAGTTTCTGGTACTTTGTTATAATAGCACAGAACAGACTATTGGCAAAGATCCTATCAAAGGGCTAGGATTTAGCTCAGTGGTTCCGCTGCCTGCCTTGCAAGCTCAAGGACCTGAGTTTGATCTCTGGTAACAACAACAACAAAAATCCTATCATGGACGGCCATTGGTGGGGGAAGAGAGGCCCCACATAGCTAGGTGAGTGAGGGATCAGAAGAGGCTGCAGGGCCCTGACACAGAGTTTGAGGGCTACATTAAGGCGTGGAGTCTTTGTTCAAGGGGAAAAGCAGTTGCAAGATTTAAACAAGGAATAACAATAAGATTTTTATTTTAAATAGCTTCCTCTGGCTATAACTTGATGGGAAAATAGAGACAGAACTTTTGGTTTTTTTGTTTTGCTTTGTTTTCTTCTGGTACCAGGGATTGAACTCAGGACCTTGCACTTGTGAGGCAAGCACAGTGCCACTGAGCTAAATCCCTGGCCAAGACAGAACTTTTGAATTCCAATGTAGTGTCAAGGAGAGACATGGCATAGTATAGGCCAAGAGGTTCCTACCCAGCCAAAGTGCACAGATGATCCCAAGTTTTATGTTCTTACTCAACCTTTAAGGTAAATATTAATCTTGTAACTTAATTATAAAGCCAATAACAATATTTTGGGGTTTTTCTTAAAACAAAGAAACATATTTAGACTGTCATTTCTGTACCTTAAACATTCAGATCGCAAATGTAAAAACATTTTATTTTAATTAAGTAATAAAATTATCAAATTTACATCTTACTTCTGTTTTATAAACTTCACTACCTCATAAAGAAGATTTGTTGATTAAACACAACAGCGTCTGGTTAATTAGGCTTGAACTGTGATTTTGTATCGCCTCTAAGTACTTACTATGGGAGGACAACTTTGTAGAAAGGACATCATCCAGGTAATAGGAAATGTTGTTGACCCCAACCCAAGATTTCCCTAAAAACACCAGGCAATAGACAGGTTAGATTCATGAAGTTTAAGTTGCATGTAAAAAGATATTCATTCTCAAATATGTTTTTATCCTGATTAATCAAATATTTTAAATCACTATTTGTTAAATAAGCTAAACAGAGCACTTAAGAGGAAAGATGGTATTTAGATCAACCATCTTTTGGAGACCATCTCTAGTACACACATTTTTATCATACTGTTAATCGTAATATATGTAATCACATCAGACATATAATAGAAAAAATATGTACCTGCTGAAAGACAAGAAGTATCTCATATAAAAGTGCTGTAGCATTATCTGTATATTCCAGGATAAGCTTCTGTAACTAGAATTTCCAAGAATAATCAATACAGTATCATAGGCCAAGCCAGAAAGTAATATTTCTCTTGGTTCCCTTTTAATACTTACCAAAAAAATTTTATTAACTTTATCTATTTACTCATTAAATGTATATCAGACACTGTGGTAGGTGTTGAGGATACAATGAAGAGCAACACGGAATGATCCTTGCCCTCACTGAATATAAAATTGGATGGAAAAACAGGTATCAATCTAACCAGAAAATGCACAATTATAAATTGAATCCAAGGCTATGGAGGAAAAGTACAGGAAGTTAAGAGAGCTCTAAAAAGGAGCAGTCTCTTGTTAGGCCTGTGTCCTACCTCACTACACTACTGCACTCATTCTTAAAGGACTTTGCCTATTTGAGTCTTGTTTCCAGCCCACACTTTAACACTCTTCCAACTGAAGGTGTATTGCAGACACTTCCTACGTAGTCTGTATTGATATATCCTTGGCCATATCTGACTAATATCTGTCCCTCTCACAGTTTTATAAACTGGTGAAGGCAGAGATTGTGTCTGTTTTGCTCACTCTTTGGACTCTCTTCCTAGCATACTGTTTGCTTATAATGATGTTAATAAATATTAACTGAGTGAGTGAATGAATGAAAGAATTTTCTAAAACAATTCCAACTATATGTTTAAGAATACCTGATTGTGTCCCATCCATTCAAAACATTCAGTATTGACTTGACTTAAAATAAACTAATAATAAGCTGGTATATTCTCACAATACACATGCTTTCTAGGCAACTTGATATTTCTAATACATTAATTCAACCTTAGAAAAACTCTGACCAAGAGTTTGTATGATCATATAGGCAAAGAGATGGTAAGTTAAAGCCCACAGTTAATCCTAAAATTTCTGAGGGTACTTTTTTTTTGTCCTTTGTAATTACATGTATATATGTGTATATGTACATATATATATATATATATATATATATACGTACTGGGGATCGAACCCAGGTCCTTGTGCTTGTGAGGCAGGCAGCAGAACCACTGAACTAAACCCCCGGCTCTTATAATTACATGTATATTAATATTGTATATAAAGATAGTAAGTAGGTTTATATAATTTATAAACTATTTTTGTTACATATATCTTAAAACAAGATAGATAAATTAATATTGACGGAATAGTTAACTACATTTTTAGGTTATTAACAAAACCTAAAAAGTCTTTGATTGGAGTATATTTCTGTATTCTATATCATCACAGTCTACATTAAAAGCCACTGTCCATGTATATTATATTCTGTCTACCTCCCAAATTTGCATCTTACCTCAGCATCAAAAGATATTTCAGCTAAAGTTGAATCAGCCACCAAATGAATATCGAACACAGGACAACATTTTGGAATCTGAGGTTTGCTAATTAAAATCACCAAGAGATTAAATAGTGTTCCCCTGAAAGAATAAATAAGAGGCAATTAGCAAGTAAAGTTTGGAAATGAAAAACAATAAAACTAAGCTTTCAAATACTTCTTGACTGAACTTTTGGTACTGGGATCAAACTTGGGCCCTTTTACTTGTGAGGCAGGCGGCAGAACCTCTGAGCCAAATCCCCAGGATTGAATGAACTTTTAGATCCCTGGATATTCATATGAATGTCTAGAAAATAATTTTTTTCTTTTGAAATAAGAAATTTAAAACAGACATGGTGGCCAGGGATTTAGCTCAGTTGTTCCGGCTCCTGCCTTGCAAGCACAAGGACCCAAGTTCGATCCCCGGTACCAAAAATAAATAAATAAATAAATAAATAAATAAATAAATAATAAATAAATAATAAATAAATAAATAAATAAATAAATAAATAAAAAAACAGGCATGGTGACACATGAATGTAATCCCAGGTACTAGGGAGCTGAGGCAAGAGGATCAAAAATTTGATCCCTGCCTAAGCAAGTTGGTGAGACTGTCTCAAAAAAAACAAAACAAAACTATAGATACAGCTTTCTTCAAACCTTGGTTTCTCAATTCCTAGTACTTAAAAAAAAAAAGGGAAAAAAGTTAAATAAAAACATAATTTCTTATTACACCTTGAACTGTTTAACAAATCTAGATGTAAGAACGATTTTGGTTATTGCAATTATAGCAGTATTTTCCAAAAACTTTTATTAATTCTAGGCATTATTATGATCAAAATAGATTCCATGGTCAAAGGAAGTAGGGGAAATATTCAATTAAACTAAGTTTATTGGATATCTTAACTACAGGACTTATCAGACTTTAATATGCTAATATGCACTGTGTATCTCTGGGACAAATACTGTATGTAGCATTTTAAAATAAATATTGTATGAATTCATGGTATAAAAATGATATTTTGAAATATATATACATTCTGAAATGGTTGAATTAGCTTATGCATTAACTCACATACTTAGCTGTTTTCTCCCACTGAGAACACTTTAAATCTACTCATACCAATTTCCAAGTGTATAGTAGTTGTTATTTACTGCAGCTCCCATGTCTCACAATAAATCATGTGAACTTAGGCTTCCTGCTTAACTGAAATATTGTATACTTTGACCACATCTTCCAATCCCATTACCTGGAAACTGCCATTCTACTCTGTTTCTGAGTTCAACTATTTTAGATTCTACATACAGGCGATATCATTGGGCATTTATCTTTCTGTTCCTGTCTTATTTCACTTAGTATAGTGTCTTTCACTCATCCATGCTGTCATAAATGTCATAAATGGCAGGATTTGCTGCTTTTTTTTTTTGGTACCAGGGATTGAACTCAGCACCTTGCTCTTGAGAGGCAGGTGAGGTGCCACTGAGCTAAATCCCTGGCCCTCCTAATTGTTGAGTTTCAACAATATCTGTCTGTCTCTATAGATAGATATATATCTCACATTTTCTTTATCCACTCATCCATTGATGGACACTTAGGTAGATTCCATATCTTTTTTGTTTGTTTGTTTTGGTACTGGGGATAGAACTTGGGCCCTTGCCCTTGTGAGGCAGGTGGCAGAACCACAGAGCTAAATTCCCAGCCCTCAGAGAATTCTCAAATACTTATTTGAGCCCAAGTTTTATGACCTCAAAACACTTTTTAATTGAGCATGTTAGGGTTTACTCTTCCACTGAGCACCACTGGCTATTAATAAAAGTGATATTAAATCTAAGGTCTTTTGCTTTCAACTGCAGTATAATATGTATTAACTTACATGAACAACTCACTGAAATGCTGCTATGTGTTTGAATAATTATGTTACCCATTTAATTATTTGAAAATAAAAAGACAAAACACACCACACACACAATTCAAAATGTGCTTCTTGGGGCTGGGGATTTGGCTCAGTGCTGTCACTGCCTGCCTTGCAAGTGCAAGGTCCTGAGTTCAATTCCTGGTACCAAAAAAGAAGAGTACAACATGTGCTTCTGTGTGTCCCTGTTATCCCACTTACCAGGGAGGCTGAAGCAGGAGGATTACCTGAGCCCAGAAATGAATTCAAGAACATCCTGGGCAGCACAGTGAGAAAAAGGAAAGAAAGAAAGAAAGAAGGGAGGGAGGATGAGACAGAGGAAGAGAGAAAGAGAAGGGAAGGGAGGGGAGAGGAGGGATCTGTTGCCTAACTGAAGACAACATCAGAGTGGCTTTGAGGCATAGGAATAAGAGAATTTAAGGATGAGACTACACTAAAATTCCCTGTAACCATAAGCACTTGTTTCACAATGGAATAAAGGAGGATATAAACAATTTTTGTTTACTAATACTTGAGGCTTCCTAGTTGAGGCCAGCCTGGGCTACATAGTGAGTTCAAGGCCAGCCTGAACTGCATAGTGAGACCCTGTCTCAAAATATATATATATAATTCTCCAATTCAAAAATAAGTCTAATTATTCTGCCTGGAAAAGAAAAATCTTCAATATATTTCTCAAAAAAGTAGAATAGATCCAATAGGATATTTACTAGAGTTTTCTGCAAGATATTTAAAATGGCCAATTTTATTTTTATAAAACCATTTCAAAATAAACAGAACACTCCTTTTAGAAGCTTTTCCTGATATTGAATTTAAATTGACATTCCATTCACTATTATATTTAATTATAGTGCTTTATTTTCAGTAACTGTTTCTTTTCAAAGCTAAGGGAAGGAGCTCCCAAGTATAGGGTGACTTACTGTGATAATATATTAATTCAACCCTAACAATATTGAAATATGAAAGGATATGGCATATTTCAAGTGGGATACAGGAAAGTTGATTGAATTAATAAAATCTCCATTTATGAAAATAATATAGAGGGAAATTCTAAAATGAATAACTGCCCTTTTTTTGCTGAAATAGAATTTAATTTGAAATCCACCCCTCCTGGCAACTCACTTAATTTAAAATCCATAAATTCAATGATTTTAATTGAAATGGTAATTTCAACCTGAAAGTAGAGACTTAACAGGAATGACATCACAGGCTTAAAAATAGTCACAACAATTTAATACTTTCATTGTTCAGCTTGTTTTTATTTCTAATATTAATTTTAATGTACTACAATATGTTTTAAAATACAGACACTGAAGGGGAAACATCATTTCATAAGGCAGTCTATGATATTGTGGAAGGCAAATGGTTCAAGATTCCCACAGCCTGGAGACAGATGTAGATGTAGGTATCTATGTCTACTTCTTATATGAACCCTTTCCCTTGAGTATGGGCAGAACCTATGATTATACTTGACTATCATGCTTGTGATTATGTTGTATTACATGAAAATGGTAAAGGGGTTTTTCAAATAGGGAGAAAAGTAGAGACCAAAAGATAGAAAAAAAAATGGCAGGACCAATTTAGCATTGACTTCAGTGTAAGAGAAGACAGAAATAATCTGGAGTCTCCATTTTGGAGATTAGAGAAATGGCAGTACTTCAACTGTGTAAAGAAGCATGGAGAGGCCGGGCGTGGTGGCCCACACCTGTAATCCCAGCACTTGGGAGGCTGAGGCAGGAGGATTGCTGTGAGTTCGAGACCACCCTGGGATACGTAGTGAGTTCCAGGTCAGTCTCAACTACATAGCAAGACCCTGTCTCAAAAACAAAACAAAACAAAACAAGAAGCATGGAGAGTGTCTTTTCCTTGTCTGCTGCAAAGCAGGGGTCAGCCAACTATAGCTTATAAGCTAACTCCAGCACACAACCAATTTTTATAAAGAAACCACTGCCTGCTTCCTAAGCACAAGGACCTGAGTTCGATCCGTGGTACTAGGAAACAAACAAAAAAACCTTCTGCACGGCAAGAAACCACTGTTTGTTTGCATTGCTGGGGTTTGAACCTAGGGCCTCACACACACTAAATAAGGACACTGTCATTGAGCTACATCTCCCATCCCCGTAAATGTAAAGTTGCTGAGTGTAACTGTGCTATTTACATGCTTTCTAGGGCTACTTTTGTGCTTCAATGGCAGCATTGGGTAGTTGCAGCAGAGACTATATGGCTTGAAAATGTAAAAATATTCACTAAGGGCCCTTTATAGAAATGTTTGCCCATGCCTGCTACAGAGCATCATATTCCCATAGTGCCCAGTACATATCAGCTTACTTAAGGAATACTAATGAACACTATCATTAAAACTCGTTTTTAAATGTCTTTAATAAATAACTTGGAAAGGGTGAAGGGGTTGAAGGAGGGCAGGGGTATAGGGAAAAAATAAGAACCAAGACATATCATGTAAAGCCCAACTATAGATACATTTTCCAGCCTTTCTCGAGTTCTCACTAATGGGATATGAGCAAAAGTACTATATGCCTTGCTTACAAAGGAAATTGGTTGGGCACAGTGCTGTGTTCCTATAATCCTACCTACTTTGGGGCTGAGATAGGAGGATCACAAGTTTGAAACCAGCCTGGGCTATTCAGTGAGATGCTATCTCAAGATTTCAAAAAAGGGCCAGGTGTGGTGGGTGTGGTGGTACATCTGTAATTGCAACACTGGGAAAGCTGAGGCAAGAGAACATGGCTGTGAGTTCAAATCCAGCCTGAACTGCATGTCAAAACCCTGTCATAAAAAAAACAATCAAAATAACAAAAAGGGCTAGGAATATAGCTCAGTGGTAAAGCATTCCTCATACAGACAAAAAAAAAAATTGCTTACCCTCTACTCTTCTTTCTGCTCCCCAAGGGTGTAATGCAGTTAGGAAGGTCAGCCAACTTCAACAATGAGGATAAAGACAACAGGGTAAAAGATGCCACAGTAACAAAAGGGAAGAAACCTGGGTCCCATACTGACCTTGTGGAAGAAAGCTTGACTATCTACTCTGGACTGTTACGTGAGAAAGATCTAAATTTCATTCTCTCTCTCTCTCTCTCTCTCTCTCACTCTCTCTCTCTCTCTCTGCCAAAACTATGCCTGCGTCATATGGTATATTAAAATAATTCATGTGAATTTTTGTAATTTCACAGTCTCTTTAAAAATTACAACAACAGCAGGGCGTGGTGGCTCATGCCTGTAATCCCATCACTCAGGAGGCTGAGGCAGGAGGATTGCTGTGAGTTCGAGACCAGCCTGGGTTACATAGTGAGTTCCAGGTGAGTCTCAACTACATAGTGAGACCCTGTCCCAAAACCCCCCCCCAAAAAAAAATTATAAGAAGAGCTGGAATTTAAATTTGTGCAGGTCAGATTTCTAGTGTAGAATGGCATTACATAAAACCTTATCATACTCATCTCACTGCATCTCTCAATAACATAATCCCCAACAAAATTGTGGGGAAAATGCATACTTTGCAAAGAAAATGTGGGGCTCAAGGTCCAAGAGATTGTTTTTGGTTTCTAAATGAGGTCTTCAGTTTAACCAAGAATCTCTTATATTTTGTTTAACTGTCCAACTCCCCTTTGCAGGCTCAGCTACTCAGGCAAATGCATCAGAAATGTATCATCAGAATATATCAGAAAATACATCTAAATAATGTCAACGTGATTGCTCAGAAGTGGCTGGTAGGGCCTGTCAGAGACTCTGTGTGCAGCCCTCCTAGGAGTCCGATCTTGCACCCACATGTTCTTCAAGACAGAACTCCTATAGAAAAATGCTCCCAGCACCAGGGCAGATTTACTTGCCCGATTGCTTCACTCTTGCCAGTAGCAAGTCTGCAACTCCTACATGTGGCAAAGGGATTTGTTATAGAGAAACCCAGACTCTGCGTCAAGTGGTCACATGCCCTATGAAATATTTCTACTGAACTAAGCATTCAGAATTAGGGAAAACTGCTAGACTATCCCGTTAGGTGGAAAATTTTTCAGGAATTTGGGGAGCTTAGCTTCCTCGAGTCCCTTTTAAGGACTATATACTAATGGATAGTATAAGCTGCAGTTATTAAAAACAGAAGTGCTATATCAGTGTCTAGCTCTGCCTTTCCACATGAACACTATGAAGACACACCAAAAGGTTGATAATAGAGCTAGCTGGGCCAATCACAGCACCTACAGAAGAACCAATACCTTAAAAATCCAGGCATATGGAAGGAATTCTTATTTTAAAAAATCATACAAGATCCACATAACTTAAATGGGCATTAGATGAGGCTTTGCTTGAGTTGCTTTGAATCTTAGAACAGGCTGATGAATCCCTTAGCTTGAGCAGAAACCCTACTATTGCCACAGCAGTTTACTGCACAAGTAAGACCTGATTAGAGGAGGTTGTAGCAGCACCGGAAGTAGAACCACCAGGCTATTTGATTCCACTTTATGGACTGGCAATTTCACAAGACATCACAGTTTCAATGCATATTTCAAGTTACTTAACCAAGCAATATGCTCTGTCAAAGAACTTATTCCAAGTCAAAGCAAAAATGGCCTTAATGAGGAACACAGAAAAAGCACTATCCAAATAAAAACTACTAAAGATGTAAATTTTTATTTTCTTTTGCCCACATATTTTAGAGTATCTTTATTACAGCAGCACACCCTATATGTCATAAACTCTCCAACATCATTCACTCCCAAGTCACACTACAGTCATGTACCAAATAATAAAGAGGTTTTTATCGATGATGATACAGTTAGATTCTAAAGCAGCTGAAAAATTCCTATCTCGGTGACTTTCTAGCTGTCATAACGTAGCACAGTGCATTGCTCACATTGTTTGCTACTACAGACAAATGCATTGTGCTGCAAGTCACATAAAAGTGTAGCACATACATTTACTAGTATATAATAATAGATGACAATGTTATGGTTTGTGTATTTACTGTACTATACTTTTTAATATTATTTTAGTGTAGTGTACTCCTGCTAATAAAAAAATTTACTGTAGTTATGCCATTAAGCCAGCAGCAGTCTCAAACATCTGTTTCTTGAATCACTCGACTGCATCACTTTCTCTCATGCTGATTTAATCTCATGTGGTTTTGTTTGTCAGGGCCCAAGGACTAATAGGCTATCTATATACCATATAGCCTTGGCAAACAGTAGTCTATCCCCTCTAGGTTTGTGTGAGTGCACAAATCCCCAACATTAAGCAACATATGACTGTCCATAATAAATTGGCTGTTGTAACAACTGCCTTTGCTGTGTAATTTCCTACTGTGGATGTAAATGTACCCTGGGAAATTCTAATGGAGACTTTTAATGCATGATGGGTCAGTTGGTCTTTTTCAAGCTCACCAGACTAGGATAAAAGAAAGAATCTTTGTGCCCTTAATAATCCAGAGGGACAGCATGTGCCAATGAATCTACTCACCACAGAAGGAAGTGGAAGGACGAGAGAGTGTAATGTATCTATGAGGGGTTAAACAAAGACCTTAGAGAGTTATGAATATTGGGAGACACTTAGGAGTAGTATCAGGTTAAAATTGCAAGATCCCAATGTCTTCTAAAAAAAAACATTACTTCTTAGCTGCCAGTGTGTTCAGGCGTGATGACTCAGTTTCTGTCTCTCTGAACATCAGTCCTAAGGTCTGTATAATTTCAATGCATGCCCTAGGACACAGAGGAAAAAGAATGGAAATGGCATGATTTCATCAAAAGTTCAGAATTCGGTAAAAGCAGTAATCCTTGATAAAATTCCTTTCAGATATAATCCCAACACTCAGGAGGATGACACAGGATGGTCACCATGGATTTGAGGCCACCTGGGCTACACAGTGAATTCAAGGCCAGTCTGAACTACATAGTGAGACCTTGTCTCAAAACACAAAACAAAATTGTCAATATTGATTAAGTACCTTGTTTGCCATTGCTACGTAGTAAGGTATCATGTATGTTGAATGAATAATCTTGTAATATAGTGTATGCATGAATGATAGTGTAGGTGTTGAATGAATAACTGATAATGATAGCTGCCTGTCAGGATTAAGTCATTTTCATATTTTTGTATGTATGTTTCCCCATCGTTTTTGGGATAATCACACACTACTTCATTTTAAAATTATTTCAGATAATTTTGATTTTTTTAAAATAGGTAACATATGGCTCAAAATGTCAACTGTAAAAAAGAAAATACATTGAAAAGATGTCTCTTCTCCACTCAACCATTTTTTCCCTTTTAGAGAAGCCTATAGTTCTAGTTTCTTGTATATCTTCCATTAAAATTAAAACAAAGGAAATGTTATTTTTTTAAAAATCTGTCAGAAGCAAAACTTGCACAACTATTAATCATTATTACTGCATATATTTTGTCTCGTGCCTATCATTTATCTTTAACATGTATCTGATTATCTAGTTAGTACTTACGCCAGCTCATCAGCCCTTTGGCTTTTATTATGAAATGCATTCTTATTCCTAGACTCTGGCAAGTATTCATGAAGTTTGTTCACCAGGAAATAGAAAAGATCACTGGTCTGTAAAAGCAAGTGAGAAAGAAGATGGCAGTTAAGGTATCAGTTCTTAAAACTCTCCATTCTTACTTTAAAGTATAAAGAAATTATTAGTTCTTTATTAGAAAAACCTATTAATACCACTGGCAATGCAGTGGAAATACAGATTGCCATTTGTCTAACTAAACACTGACTCAGAGTTGAGGACAAATATTTTTGTGTTCTTACCCAGTCTTATAAGCTCAATGAAGTATGAAAATAAGCACTGGCCTATAAAATCAGGCAAGCTGGTACTAATAAGAAAGTTAATGCAATTGCTTTTCTTTTCTATTCCTCTATTGTTTACTTTTCCCCCTGTGACCTTTGATTACTAGTGACAACTTACACTCTGTCTTGACAAGTATATGTGTGCCCTTATATAGGTAATATGAAAAAAGGCTGAGAATGGCTGTGAAAGAAGGGGTGAAGGAAGAGGAACGATATGAACATCACGCCTCTACAAGTACTTGAACTTATGCATGCCTGATAAACTCATAGAGCAGCAACTTAACACACTGACTCTGGGGCCTGGCTCTCTGAATTCAAATCCCAGCCTTTCCTCTTGTTGCTATATGATCTCTAGAAATTTATTCATGTTCCCCATGACTCATTTTCCTCATCTTTAAAATGGGGTTAATAATATTACCTCACAGAGGTGATGTTAGGACTACAAATAATGGTATTATATAATTTTAGGGTGGGTGTGTGTGTATTTTGAGACAAGATCTCACTATGTAGTTGAGACTGACCTGGAACTCACTATGTAGCCCAGGCTGGTCTTGAACTCACAGCGATCTTCCTTCCTCAGCCTCCTGAGTGCTGGGATTACAGGCGTGTGCCACCACACCTGGCTGGTATTATATAAATCTTGAGTAGTGCTTAGCACATCATAAATGCTTAATCATTCTGTTACTGTGATCTCCCACCTGTCTACTGATTGAAGAATTTTATTCTTAAAATATCCTTTTCCCTCCAACAACATGAAAGAATCTCAAAGTATTATGCCAGTCACTGACTGCAATCTTATCTTCTATATCTGAGAGTCTGTCTTCGCATTCTTTTATTCTGTTGGGTACACTTTCAATGGAGTGTTTAATCTCCTGGATATCTGTTTGAATCTGTTTTATGGATTCCATTTCTTTCCTATGCTGGGCCTTCATGGCTTCTATCATGGTCCTCAGATCATCTATTTTTTTTGTCAGTTTCTGTTCTAGAGTCTTGAATCACGACTTTCATTTTGCTCACTATCTCTATGGTTATCTGGGAAATTATTTCTGTTTTGAATTTTGCTAGAGCCTGATTGATCTGTTTTGTTACTTCCTGTGCTTTGAGTTCAGGGTGTCCTGGTGGTTCACTATTGGCCTTTTCATCCTCATGTGCCGTACTGTTTGCCATTGGTGAACTGGAAGTCTGTCTTTGTGTCTTGCTTAAGTGTTTTCTCATTTTAATTTTTGTTGTTGGACTGTCCTTGGTTTAATCTCTGGATTATCACCCAAATCTTCCTCATATAGTTGGGCCCTAGTTTCTGGGTCTCTAACGAGCCACAGACATTCTCATCTTCATAACATCAGAGAAAACAGCTCATCAAATCAACCACAGTCCTTTATCCCAACTGATACAATCAGCAACACATTATGATCAAGCACAACTTGGAAGCTGACCTCCGGTGGTAGTCACTAGTCTATCACCCTTAAATCATTTGAATTAAATTTAAATCAAGAAGCAGTCCAGAACATGTCTGTATTGAACAAACTTTTCAATATAGTATATTTACCATTTAGGATGGGTGCTCAGACAGTGCTAGGACTCAAGACCCCTGATCTCAGTTAGCAGATGGCTGAACCCATGATGCTGACTCACCTTGGGCTGCAAGGCCCAGATTGAGTTCCCCAACCTTCTAAATGGTTGAACTCCACACTATTCTACTACAGGTTTCCCACGCCCTTTCTTTAAAGGTGTTCAAAGTTGGGAACTCAGAAAAATACCCTTTATGACCACCTCTGCCTCTGCAGAGTAGGTCCAAAGACTGGCACAATCAGAAGGTCTGAGCATGCCCGTGGTGGGGGGTGGGGTTAAGGGGAGTTATGGGGGTTCAGGGGCACCCCCACGGCTACCTTCTTGGTGCTGGAGTGGTGGCGGCTCTGGGCGGGAGAGGGCGTGGCTTATTTTTATCTTTATTAAGTTTATTGATACAATTTAAGTATACAATACATTTACATTCATCATCAGGATCTTGTACCTTTACAAGACTTACCTTTGTTCTTAGTTTTCCCCATTCCCCAGCCCTCCTTTCACCCCCTCCACTCTTCCCTGTTTACAGAGACATTGTGTCCATGTTTTTCCTTTTTACATATTTTTCTTTTCCCTTTTTACTTTCCCCTACCCCTCCTACTTCCTCTACTCTTTTAGACCTTTTCTTCCATGAATGCATTGCTAATCCCTGTTACCGTGCCTCCCACAGATTAGGAAAGCAATAAATGTTTGGTGAATTGTTAAAGAGAAAGTGCTGTGAGAGATGCCATACAACTGCACTGCCCTGTAAATTAATTATTCAAATTAATTAGATTACAATTAAAATTTTTCTTCTTTAGTCTTTAGCCATATTCAAGTGCTTAATAGCCACATGTAGCTAATGTCTACCTACTGAACACAGCAGATGATAAAATATCAAAGAAATTTCTATGAACAATACTTCCACAGAAGATCAGAAAAAGGTGCCAAAATTCCTTAGTGAGGATCACAAGAAAGGCACAAAAAATGGCATTTGAGTGAAAAAATGAGTCATATGTTTACAAAAGAAAATGGAAGACACATCCTAGAGAAAACAAATAGCAGGAGAAAGGATGGTGAGCCAGAGAGGACAGAGTATTCTAGTTATCCCATATGTCCCAAGCTTTTAGAAAACAGGAGAGGGAAATGGTGGGCTGAGTGTGTTAGCCCATCCTTATTCTTTTTCTCTGCATCCTTTTATCATTCCACAGCCAAGGCCACCCATATCAGGCCAGTTTTGAGATGCTTAAAATGACCCCCAGACCCACACTCGTGTTCAACATCCACACCTTTCTTCCTATATAACCCTCAGAAGGTACTTCAGTTCTCCTATCTAATCATCTACTTTAAATCCAACCTCTAAGTGTGTTCAGTTTATCTAAATGGACTTCTCTTTAGCTCTGTCTGAGGTCCTTTTCCATTTCTCTCACACGTACTATCTTTACTCTTGACAATCTCTGCATCCTTCCTCCCCACGCCAGAATTCACATTCCATGAAGGACCCATTCCCACACCCTAAACAAGCTGATCTCCCAGGTACCAAATGTTTGTGCAGACATCTGAGTGTAAATGCACCTACATAGTGAAATATCTGTATACTTTGTTTTGATTACTTTATGTAGAGCTCACTCTCAATCTCAGGCACTGTGCCTTCTCCATGAACCTCTACAGCTGGATTCTCCCAGATGATGATGCTTAAGATAAATGCTATGCCCAAATTCAGAATCTATGACAGTGGCCACTAGTGAGTAGCTTTAAATGCTAAATATCTGTACTTAATTCAATAACTACAGAAGGTTTTTTGTTTGTTTGTTTTTTGTACCAGGGATCGAACTCAGTACCTTGCACCTGAAAGGCAGGTGGCAGAATCACTGAGCTAAATCCCCAGCCAACTACAGAAGTTTTTGATCAAGCAAGGCCACATAATTAGGGTTTTGATTAAATTGATGTCATATGTGGAGTGGGCAGGATAATTTGGGTGGGAACCCCAATTTCTTTAGCTTTTCTGCATGAATTCTATTTCCAATTTCAAAATCAATCTGATTGTCCCTGTATTTTCTATAATTCTCTGAAGTCCTAGAATCAAAACATGGATGGCATATTTCTAACAAGATCTATCCATTACTGTTTATTTTAGACTATGCACCACCACATCATCCTTACCTGAGTCTCAGTGTTGTCAAATATTTGACATAATATTCTCTATAGCTACTCTGTCCTCTAATTAGTCTGATTGGCCATCATCCTAAATTTTTTTAGACTCTCCTTGCTGTCCCATGGCATACCAGAACAGCTGGTCACCCTAGTCCAGGCAAACCAAGATGGCTGCTCAGCCTTATATATGTAGCACCTAGAATCTAAGACACACCCAAGAACTGTCCTGAATGGTTGGGAGATTGTGCACTTCACCGCTGTTCCATGAAATTACGGCAACTACACATGAGATCATTGGCCAGAAGTAGGACGCAACATATGGCCAGGTGAGCAGGGCTTACCCCTTCTTCTTGGCCTCATTAGCATTACTTACCTGGGTTTTTTTTAACTCCTTCACCTGGAACCAAAATGAAGTGCTGGTAAGTTACCAAGTGAGAATTAGGTTGTGGGCTGATTTACCAGAAGTCACATTTTTTAAAATGTCTGTCTTACACTAAGAAGTAATTTTTTACATTTCAAAAGTATTTTTAAATTATATTTTTACCACAGGGGAACATGCATAGTAAAACTCCTTGAAATCTACTTTCCCATCTTACATCTCACATGCTAAAACCTTTCTCTCTAATATCTTCATTCTTTGACTCTGCCAACCCAGTCCATATAAGCTACTTTGTGCTATGCTCCCTTCTTCCTTCATCCCCCCCACACTACTGATTACCTCAAAGAACTTCAAGCATTAAGACATGACTGCATTAATTTAATGAACATTTTAAGCATCAAAATATAAGATGGTTTTTATTTATATTTTACTTTACACTTAAATGTCCTCTAACTTGTGAAATTTGTTTTAAAGATTAAAAATAAAACACCTACTTTCCAGAAAAGCCTTTTCAGAATGAAATTTTTCTGGGCTGCTACTTTAAGTTCCATAATTAGACAAAGTATCTTCCTCAAAGTATTGTCTTTAAGAAAAAGTTCAGATTTTAGTTGACTGAAGTGCTTAATTTTCTCCTCAGATCTATAGAAATATGAAAAAACAAGTTCCATGTAAAAAGTAAGAAAAAGCAGTTTGCGAATATCAGTGACTTGATAGGCTTGTAAAACTTTATTACCAATGAAACTTTAATATAATTTTGTACTCCCAGTGTTAATACTCACCAGTAGTAAAGCTTGCTCCCATAAATTGAAAAGTTCATTGCCTTCCAAACTTACTTTTGAGCCATGTCATTTGCTGAAGCTACACCCATACCAGGAATGCTCCTTATGGTCCCTAGTAAATTTCTGTGCCTCTTTCAAGCCTTGCCTATACCATTTACCATCATTGACAAACCAAATGTAATATTATTTGCTTAAATTTTTTCTTTTAATCAACTCACTTGGCTTTTGCTTAAAGAAGTTTATTTATAAAGAAACTTTTATATTATTGCTTGATAGGGAAAAGAAACATTACTTGGCATAAATAGCAGGGAACTGTTAAAGAAAGCTGCACTGATCCTAAGTGAGATCAATCTGAAGCCTGCTCTGTCTTTACACAAAAGGTGGACACACTTGTATTAGAGCTGCCCAGAAAGCGCTCCCTGATGAAAGCTGATCAGCTGGCAAAAGGAATTACTTTTCCACCTTGGAATTGAAAGTTATTTCAGGCTGTCCGAGTACAATCTGAAATCATCTGCCTTCACTGAACAACTTGTATCCCACACTTCAGGAAAAGAAATCTGAGCTGGAAAGACACCTCCTACTTCCACCAATGAACATAGCCCTTCTCCCACTGCAGACTGTTAACACGTCTAATATCACACTGATCCTGTTTAATCCCACTGTAGTTATTTGTGTAGGTATCTTAGCCTCTCAGATGATTTTCAGCAATTTAAAAAAATTGCTATTATGCTGAATATTGTTTCCATCTCACACTGCGCTCATTAATAACAACTTGTGCTTAACTGGGCACTGACTATGCAGTAGATTATAGTCTGGGTACTATTCGTGAACTAGTTCACTGAACTAGCTACCACTGAAGGGTTTGAACTGGGAATTACCATGGTATTTTATAGGAAGTGAGAAGGTAACCTGTCCAAAGTCACAAAACCAACGACTTAGAATATCTGGGTGCAAACTAACAAGAGGAGAGGTATTTCATAGTCTGCATTTTTTATGTCGGGTGAATACAATTTTAACCCCTCCTCCAGAAACCTGTGATACCAGCCACTTACCCCAAATAAGTAGTTCCCCCTATCCAGTTAATGAGCCTTTCATGTAGCCCTCAAATTAAGACTTTCTGGAAAGAGCATCTCTTTTATAGTGGGAACGTGGGAGGAAAAAAATAGTCATCACAGATTCAGCAATAGCAATGCTAGAGGCAGAAGAACATAATGATTATAAGCACAAGGGGAAGGTCAGAATCCTAGATGTGCTTCTACCAGCTAGATAATTATTGCCACATACAAGTTACCTCTCTGTGCCTCAATTGCCTTATCTACCAAGGGAGATGATTATAATATCCACTGTGCTGAGATAATCTCATTAACATGTATCCTGAGCACACAATCCAAATAAAATCAAAAATAAGTTTGAGTCCTGCTTCACTATAAGTCTACTTCTAAATCACTACCTTATTTCACTTAAAAAAAAAACTATTAATCCCTCACCTCTCTGAGAACTCCCAAAACAACAGAAACAAGTGACTCAAAAGACTCAGATAAAAATACATCGCAGAGCCACCGATTTAGCTCAGTGGTTCTGCTGCCTGCCTCACAAGCTCAAAGTCCTGAGTTCGATCTCTGGTACAAAAAAAAAAAACGCAGAATTATTTTGAAATTAATGTTCTACTTTTCCCCATTAACAGTTGGCAATTTGCTGTGATACATAAGAGAAAGTTTATAAACCTTTGCCACTTATGATGATACTGTTATGCAAAATTAATTTTCTTTAAAGACCAAAACATTTTCCATAGAAAGGACACTAATCTCTTCATATTAAAACTTCATTCATACATACTTCATTCATATAATTCATTCATGTACACCATACATTCAAATTAAATTAGACATAGATACATTACCACAGATAAGTAATCAAGATGACAATTTGTTTAGAAAGAGGGTATGGCTTTTAGACAAATGGCAAAATTATTTTTCAGTACTGGGAATTGAACCCAGAACCTTTGCACTGAGTTACAACCCCAGCTCTTTTTTATTTTTTACTCTGAGACAGTGTCTTGCTAAGTCACTAACATGACCAGGCTGAGCTCAAACTTGTGATTATTTAACCTCATCTTCCCCAAGTACTAGAATTACAAGAATGCCCCATATTTTTTTAATTATAGAAATTTTCTGAAGAAAATTATATAAGAAATTCCTGTGTACCCATACCTAGTTCCAGTAATTTTCAACGTTTATCCAATTTTTGTTTAATCTATTCCCACACACACATATATATATATATACACATTCACACATACAAACACACTATTTTAAAATTAAGATAAATATAACATAAAACTTATCACTGTATTCATTTTTATCACTGTATTCATTTTATTTATACAATTCAGTGGTATTAAGTGTATTTACAATGTTGTGCAATTATTGTCACTATCCATTTCCAGAAGTTTTTCATCTTCCCCAAACAGAAATAGTGTACCCATTAAACAATTCCTCATCACTCCTAGCCCTTAAGTAACTCTGATTCTGTTTTCTGCCTCTATGAATTTACCTTTTCTAGATGCCTCACATAAATGGAATCATATGATATTTGTTCTTTTGTGTCTAGGTTATTTCACTTGACATAATGTCTTTGAAGTTCATCCATGTTGAAGCATGTGTCAGAATTACTTTTCTTTTTGCCCGCTAGCATATCCAGACTTTTTTTTTTGGGGGGGCTACTGGGGATCAAACTCGGGTCCTTGTGCTTGCAAGGCAGGCAGAGGAACCACTGAGCTAAATCCCTGGCCCATTTTTTTGTTTTGTTTTGTTTTTTTGTGCCAGGGATCAAACTCAGGACCTTATGCTTGTGAGGCAGGCGGAAGAAACCAAACTTTTAAGTCAGATTCAGGTTTAATGGATCTAACACAAATACTTCAGAGGCAGTGCTGTGTATTTTATGTCCATCAAAGAATGAGGCATACAAAGTCTGGTTGTCTCGCTTAAGAGATGCTAAGACTAATTGATGGATTTAGTTTTTGCAATATGATCCTTCCATTTTTGAAGTTGTTTCATCTTTCTTTTGTTTTCATCTACTCAGGATTCTTGCACAAATCTATTGTTTTATTAAAAGCTGGGAAAATGTTAATTTTCTAATTCTGTTAAACTTTTCACATTCATTAGATGGAATTATATAAAAGAGAATTTGTTCTCATTAACTAAGTCTAATTAGTTATCTTGAACTGGTTACAGTTAATGCAGGAAAGGCTTCCCATTTGTTTGCTGATTTACAGAGTGAGGAATAAGTTCCCTATTTTCTTCTAATATTCAGTGTATTTACTTTGGTGAAGGAACAGAGTGAACCCTCTACAAACCATCATTATACACTTCTGAGTTTTTATATTTCATTGCATTTCAATCACTCCATTCCTTATTTTTTCTAATGCTCAAGTTGCCCCATCTTTGGCTCCTGGAAGCCACTTCATGTAAGTACCTTTGTCACTTCTCTGCTTTTTTATTTTATATTTTTATCAGCTGTTTCAGACTCACTTGATATGTTCCGGTCCAGACATCCACTCTTCTAAGAACTTTGGTTCCTTTGGGTGGGGGATGAATATGTCCAACCTCTATCATATGTCATTTATTTATTCATTCTATAAAGGATCTTTGCAGCCTACCATGTGACCAAGGTATAGACCCTGCCTTAAGAAGCATACTGCATAATAGGGCAGCACATAACCAAATAAGCAATCAAAACACACACTGGTAAGTGCTTCAAGATGTATAAGCAAATAATGCTATGGAGAGGTCCCACCTAGCTTAGTTTTGAGGGGCCTGGAAAGGAGTTTTGAGGAAAAACTAAGATTTAAGGGTTTAAATTATTTAGGAAGAAAGAAAGTGAGGTTCTAGAAAATGGGCCATAGTGTTAGGGGCCAGAAAGCAGAGAAAAGGGGAATTCTGAAGACTGAGAAATTCATTTAGAGCAGGTACTCAGGGCAGAAATGGGCAAGGGGTACACAAGAACAGAGGATGGGGCCGGGGATTTGGTTCTGCTTGCCTTGCAAGCACACAGACCCGAGTTCGATCCCCGGTACCAAAAAAACAACAAGAACAGAGGTTGAAAAATACAAGTAGACATCATGAGCATCTATATAATCTATTAGACACTTACACTTTTATCTAAGGGCAATGGGGAGCCATTCAGAGGCTTCCAGGGAAGAATTACAGGGAAGATTTGTGCGGTGGAAAGACTTCTCCATTGTAATGGAGAATGGGCTAGAGAGGAGCAAGAGTGAAGGCTGAGTGACCAGCTAGGGAAGTACTGTAAGAGAGTGGAACAAAGATAATTAACTGGACCTGAGCAAGGAGCAGTGGAAAGTGGCTATTATCCAGACACAGTAACAAGGTATAAAAGACATCGTGTAGTGATTGAAGTGGAGAGAGGAGGTAAGGGTAACATCTAGGACTCTCACTTAGGGTGAGACAGTGACATCATTCCCTGTGTTAGGAAATACAGAGGAAAGTAGATCCCAAAAGGAAGATATTGATTATACTACCTTGAAGGTTCCCATGAGACATGTGTGAGGTGATGTCCAGGGAACACTTATGCTTACAGACCTAAAACTCAGGGCTGAGTCGAGGTGGAGGGCCAGATGTGACAGTCAGCCACACTTACAACATAGAGTTAGGAGCATAAAGAGGAGAGAAAAGTCCCCCGAGCAACTCTCTCACATCATCACTCCTTACCTATATGGCTTTGGACTTCGAAGAACAGGACTGACCTCAGTAGCATATAGGGGATCTTGTAAAAGAGTAGCTTTCTGAAAGAATAAAAAAGTTGGAATTGTTAGAATTGCTGTTTACTGAAAAGCAACCTATTTTTAGCAATTTGTGTGTGTACATGTGCATGTGTATATATTTTTAATCCCATCTATGGTACATTATTTGCTCTTCTAATTTCAGTATTTGATAGCACCACAGGGAATTTTTCATTATCTATTTTTTTTAGTTTTAAATATAACTTTTCATTTTAAAACAATTTATCAAATTCTAACAGTACCTAATTGCCCAAAGTAAAAGATAAAATTGTTTCTCTTAACTCTTTCCTTATCACAATTCAAAGTAACTTTGTGTGTGTGTGTGTGTGTGTGTGTGTGTGTGTGTGTGTGTGTGGTACCAGGGATCAAACTCAGGACCCCACGCTTGCCAGGCAGGCAGTGCACTACTGGGCTACATCCACAGCTCCAAGTAACTATTATCAGTTTGGTTTATATCCTTTCAGGCATTAAAGGACACATTAATTATAACACATATACACTCACAGTATTATATATTATGACATATTTTAATAGATGTAATCCTAGCTAAATTATATCACATATATTAATCTAGAACTTGATTTTTTTCACTTAACATATGGTGAGCACTCTACTTATGGTATAGAAATCTGTCTACATAGATTTACTTCAATTTTTGTATTGATTACCTAGTATTCCATACCATAGGTATACAAAACTTTTGTTAACTACCCTTCACTAATAGGGATAATTTAATTTTTTTTTTTTTTTTTTTTTTTGGTACTGGGGAATCAAACCTGGGTCCTTATGCTTGAAGGCAGGCAGTAGAACCACTGAGCTAAATTCCTGGCCCTCTTAATTTTTTAATTTTTTTTTCCCCTTAAATCTTTAGTGTTGACACTTCCCCCTATTTTCAGCCCTCAAAACAGACAAGTAAACTTCAATAAATTCCCCAAGTAACTTTTTATTTATGTTGAGGCCTACCAGGTCAGAAGGGATTTTTGAAATGTTGCCAATTTATAACTCAAAACAAACTTACCCATCATATTCTTTTTTTTAATTTTTGTTTTGTTTTGTTTTGTTTTTTGAGACAAGGTCTCACTATGCAATTCAGGCTGGCCTTGAACTCACAGTGATCCTCCTGCTTCAGCCTCCCAATTGCTGGGATTACAAGTGTGTGCCACCACGCCCGGCTCACCTGTCTTTTTCGCTTTTTAAACAAAAATGTTTAATGGATAGTTAAAATTATATTAAGTTCAAAATACAAGACACTAAATAGCAATATTGAAATCCTTCCTAACATTTCTATTTGCTCTCTCAATGACTAATATAGATTCATTTTCCACTACACTTGTTTTTTTAAGTCTATTTATCCTTAAAAGTCTACTTTTTCTTATTTTGGTACTATATCATCAGGTACATAAAAGATCATGACTATATTGTACAAGTTTATTATGACTTAATTTTGGATTAGAGCTTTAATAAATATAAAATTACATTTCCCCTGTCTTATTCTTTTTTGTTTTGTTTTTGTTTTTGTTTTTGTTTTTGTTTTTGTTTTTGTTTTTGATACTGGGGATCGAACTCAGGCCCTTGCACTGATGAGGCAGGCGGTGGAACCACTGAGCCAAATCCCTGGCCCCTCCCCTGTCTTATTCTTAATATTAAAGCTGGTTAGTGGGCTTATGGTAGTGGGGTAAATATATGCTTTTTTTCTTTCTACTTTTATCATGGTTTTACATGTTTTAAAAACTGCCTTTTTTCCCCTTTCCAAATGTTTATACTTGCCTTAAATCTATAATTTTAACGTGGAATATGCCTCAGTAACTTAGCTTTCTAGCAGCTAGCTTCATAACTTCATGAACTATGAACTATAGCTTCATATATATCCTTCGTATAAAGGATACCCCATTTCATCTCTGTATATGAGTTTGAGATGCTGAACAACACAGATGTAATTATTGTTGGTAAAATTTACAGATTAAAATATGTTACTAAAGGAAACTGAACTCTTTGAAAGACTGTAATTATTGTTGGTAAAATTTACAGATAAAATAGGCTACTCAAGGAAACTGAAATCTTTGAAAATACGAACTGGTAAGACTTCCCCTGCTTGCTTAAACAAAAGCCCCATTTCTTTTTTTCTATAAGACACTGCTCATTGATGAGCATTTCTCCCTACTACAAGAGCCTGAATCAAGTCACCCTTTCAGTGCGTCTTTTCTTTCACAATATTATTAAATTGTAAGACAAAATTTCCAAATGGTTGGGGTACAGGGAGGGTGTGTTTACCTTTCACAGAAATAAAAACAAAACAAATAAACCTCAGGTTAGCGTGAGGACACTTACTATAACATAATTGTTCCATGAACTTTTTAAGTGAAGAAATAAAGATGAAGTTGCAGAAACAATGTACAAATGAAGTTCTGATTCCTTTTTCTCTAGGTTTAAATCACTCTCCAAAGGGGAAACTGGGAGAGAATTTCGTAAGTGAAACTCATTTCTGTTCCCATCACACTTGAGAGAGATTTCACTTGGGCAGTCTTTGTGATCTGGAAGTCCCTGGCATTCTTTTGTGTTTGCTGTGCGAGATGGTGAGCTGACAGCCCTGCCAGCGGCTGCTGTGGATGGACCTGTCCTCCTCGGGGGAACAGGTAAGGGTCGAAAGGCACCTTGGCCCTGGAGGCACAGCTTGTTGATGTCTGAAGGAGAACTGTAAGTTGAGTCGTCCAAGGCTCTGTAGCTCTCCTGGGCATACCTGTATGTAGAATTTAGTGTTAAACATGATTTTACAGCAAGGAACAAAGATAATCCAGTGACCAATTACAACAGTCTAAGACTGAAAGGTATTGTTTTCATATAAATGGAACGCTTGTTAAGAGGCCACACCAGTAAACCCAGCACCCTGGGAGGCTGAGGCAGGAGAATCACGTTGGAGCAGAGCCTGGGCAACTTAGTGACTTAGTGAGACATTGCCACAAAATAAGACGTAAAAAGAAGGCTGAGTATGTAGCTCAATGTGAAGACCCTGGGTTCAATTCCCAGTCTTGCCGAAAGAAAATGGGAGGGACAAGAAAGAAGTGATTTAACTTCACTTCCTATTACCCATTGATTTAGGTAAGTGGGAGAGATACGGAATACAAATCCTTTAGTTGCTTTTCTGCTTTCAAAATAAAAGAAGCACTTTTTATATTAACAGTATTGTGCGTACCCTTCCTGGAGCCCCAATATTTTCACTGAAAGGACTTTTAGAATTTTCATTTTTAACCTTACTGTCCTTTGTGTTGGTAACAGATCCTATAAAGAAAACATTCAAATGGGGATAAGAAGAGAGATTCTTTTGATGCTGTTTTCTTTAATTCACACTCTTCCAAATTTCCTAATATCATTCCAATAGCACCAGTACTTCTGGGTCAGTGCCAGGTCCTATCCTTCCACCTTCTGCATTCTCTCCACCTCAGCACAAACTTTCTCTCCTCTGGGGCACAAGGAAGCAGGCTGGAGATGCTAAGAATTAGCAGAGTATGAGGAGATCTAAGTTCCAGTCCTGGCTTTGTCACTTGTGGTTATGCAACCTTTGCTAAACAAGGCTTACAGGAGGCCATTGTTGTGGACCTGCATCCTCTACCAGGCCCCAGCAGGCTAGCCACCTGAATGGGGTCACCTGTGCTCACTGCCATGCAATCATACTCAACCTGACTCAGCTTACAGAGGAAGTTCCTTCTGCTCTATCCCTATGAGGAAAGGAACTTCAAAAAGATCAGCCTGCTTTTTGCTCTCTGTTTCTGCTTTCTTTAGCCCTGTTGTACTAATGAAGCAAATCTATGCTCAGCTCATCAGAATACTCATTTTATTTTATAGAATAAAGTACTGGTTCATCCTACAACTACAAATAAAAGCCAGTTTGATCTTCAAATTTGTGGTAATTTTGTCTTTTGACACCTTAGTTTACCTAAGCCTTGCTTGTCCTAATTACCTGAATGGTGTTACTATGTCAAATTCCAACCTCCAGCTCCTGCCCCCCCCACCATGATCCTGCCTGTGCACACACTTGCACACACACATACAGTACTGGTCACCTCAGGTCTCTCATCATTGTCCTGTCCCCCCTGTAGGAACCCCTTATCAAACTCTCAAGCTTCAGGGTATGCATGCTGGCATTGCGATACCAGAATAAGGTCTGGGAAGGAAATCTGAGTCACCACACTCCTCTTGTGCTGCAGAATGCACAGGGAATGGCCAAATTTTAATCACACCTGGGTAAATTACTGCACGTGATGCACAACTCTTGAATGCTGCTCAGTATCTTACATTACCCTGTTTTCTTCATTGTGAGGTAGGAAAAACAGGATTAGTTGTGATGACTGGTAACTAAGGTGTGGTGGCTGGTGGCCAAGGGGAAAAACACATTTCTCTTGAGGCAAACAACTGGAGCACCAACCTCACTCACTCCATTGTTTGAGGTAAAAACAGAAAGTTCGCAAACTGTGTCACTCTTCCTTTTTGTTTAAGACAAAAATGGAGGGCTCTAAGCTGGTGTGAATTGATTTTCCCCAGAGACCTTTCCTACGTTCACTAAAACCCTCATTTACATGGAAAAAGAAACACTGGAAGGGAGGAGAAAGCACTGCTAGGCACGAAATAGGACTGAGTGCAAAGTAACACATGCATTCTTGACAACTGCTTCATGCACATGCATATACACCTTTGATTACTACACTCCTTATATATAGGCTAACACTTTGTAGAAAATGTCTATAATCTCACAGTCCCCCAATCACAGGGCTGCTCTGTCGTGCAGCAGCCTCCTTTGCCGTCCTTCCCAGGCTGTTCTGTCTCTGCGGCAGCCTGCAGCTATACCCTGTATGATCCTAATAAACTTTCTCCTGACAAATGGGCATGTCTGATTTCCAAAGTACTCACAAGGCCGGTGACAAAAGGATTCTAGTGTGATGTAACAGTGTTATTTAAATTTCTAAGACTATAAGATGCTCATACTAGGATTTTCAAATAAATTAATGCTACAGATTGAAAGTTTGTAATACCCCCCCAAATTTATATGTTCCAAATTTAACCTCCAGGGTGATGATATAAGGAGGTGGGGCCCTTTGGCGCGTGATAATGTCATGAGGGTAGACCCGTCACAGTTGGGATCACACCTCAGAGACCCCTGTAAGCCTCTTTCTACCATGTGAGGATACACTAAGAAGTCAGCAGCCTTCACTCCAGAAGAGACCCTTACCACGCTGGCCCCTGATCTTGGACTTCTAGCCCCCAAAACTGTGAGAAAGAGATTTCTGATGTTTAGAAACCAGCCACTCAATATTCTTACTTGTTATAGCAGCCCAAATTGTCCAAGACAATTTTCATGGGAAGGAAGAAAGAATATGTGTGGCTTAGAAGTGAAAGGAACGGCACTCACTGCATACCTCCATACCATTGTTACTTTAGTAATACATTTTTTTCTTTTTTTCCTCTTCTCTCCCCATTCCCCCAGCTATCAAACCCAGACCCTCATACTAAGCCCCATCTCCAGCTCCAACAATATAATTCTTAGTTTTGATAAAATTTATAAGCTGTTTAATTGACACTTATGACCTACAAAATGAGACTTATCTATGACAATTTTAAAAAGAAATTTGAAAAAATACTGTCACATATCTGAATGTTCTGAATCTTATTTTCAAGATATTCAATATCTTATATTCAACAGGTAACATTTTATTAAAAATATAACTAATCTGATACATTTTATAACATAAAACTACTGTAAATAGTTTTATACGTAAATTGAATATTATAGCCTAGTAATCAATTTTTTGAGATGCTTTTGCTTTATTTCTCATAAATTTAATTTGTTCTAATTTAAATTTAGCTATTGTTCTTAATCTTTTAAAGTTTTTCCTGCCACATTCCAGCCTTCTAGCCCAAATATATATAAATATTTAGAAATCATTTAAATTCTATAAAGCAGATTCCATAAAGGAATCCTAGGTATAGCCAATTTGTAAACTCAATAAACCTGTAATACTAACGGACCATTTTTTTAACCCTCTGGCTAGAGTTGAAAACTATTTAAAACTCAGGTAGCAATCATTTTGACTTAACAATAACATATATATGGTGATCTATGTGGCATTTATGAAGTTGTCATCAAACAAGTTCTCTTAGGCAATACTAGAGATACTGTAAATACTCAATACAGGGCATTGAGCTTCAGAGAAGTTTAAAACTATTACCAAAATTATACTCTACAGCTGAGCATGGTAGCCTCTGGCTGTAATACCAGCAGCTGGGCGGCTGAGGCAAGAGGATCATTACAAGTTTGAGTCCAGCCTGGGCTACATAGTGAGTTCAAGTCCAGCCAACAAAACAAAATAGTATGCTCTCAAGTAAGCAAACACCATATATCTCCTTGGAAAATACTTGACATTAATGTAGTGACTGGATTCTCCCTAACACCCTATACTTTCACTAAATGATTACTTATCTTCTGAATTTTTGTACACAGTTCAGTGGCTCCCCTAATGTTATAGAAATGTGAAATGCATAAAGAAAGAAAATCCCCATCCTTGTCCAAAATGTAGTTACTGAAATAATTAGAAAAGAGAAAAAGCAAAAGATAGAGATGTGGTTGTCAAAATAGAAAGGGAGAAGAAGGGTCAGTTTTTTGTATTGTTCATATTGTCATTCACTTCATTGATTTTTTTGCCCTTATTAGTAGCATTTTTTCTTCCTTGCCTTTTAGAGTTTACCCAGTTAAAGCAGGATTTACTTGCAACAGAGCCTTGGAAAAGAGTGCATTGTTACTGCATTACATGAACTCACATGTCACATGTCATACCTTTGTCAAATTTAGGGAATGTATCTGAGACAGTTTGCCATAATATTAGATACCATGACATATGTAAAATTCACAGGATTTCAGCTTACAGTTATTGCACAGAACTTGTTCACATGGCCATCTCTAGTAACAAGAATATCTAGGAAGGTGAAGACAGCACGTTATCATTACAAACAAAACCAATTCCATTAGTAAAGAATGGGAGAATTTGCTCATCCTTTTTCCACCCAGCTTTAGGGAAGTCTTAAGTAGGTCACAATACACTCCCCCACCACTGCCACCAAAAAAGAAAAAAAATGTGGGCAAAGAACCTACTTTTGTAAAATGCACATGAATACATGGAACTATCTACTAATGAAGAGTTACCCTAAAGAAAGAAAAACTTAAACGGTACTAATCTCATTATCAGAGATCACTAGTCTGTGTTCTATTCCTTGGGTGTTTAAAGGTGTGTTGCTAATTATTGTTCTCAAAAGTAATCACACTTATGTAAGTCTGATGTCCCAAGATAACAGCATCCTTCTTGTGACCTGCAGCTTCTCATAATTAGGCCTAAACTTTCAGATGTTTCAAAGCTCTGTACATGTGAGCATCTTGTAGTCTTCTAATTAGTGTTTTCTATCCTAGTCTGCCTTTTGTTTAGACTGGTGATTCAGATGTTTAATTACAGAGATGAAAGTGCTAGAAAACTATATGATAGTAGACCCAGCTCCCTCCCCACCTTCTTTATTTGGAAACTACTCCCATACAGCACACATGGGGTACACAGAAGCTGCCAGGTTTCTGAAGATGCTGATGTCTTGGCTATGGGGGATTTTTTCATTGGTGATTTATTCAAGCTGAGCAGTCAGAGACCTTCACCAGTATTTTAAAAATTTGATGGAAGAAAAGATACAAGTTGGGTTGTGTTTGTAAAGTGTAAATTTAAGACCAGTTGTAGTAATTTTATTGGCTGCCCTGTGGAAGACATGGGATCCAGTGGGAGAAAAGGAAGCTGACACACAAACATCAGAGGAGAGAGTCACGTGGCGCTCACTCAGCCTCCACTTCCAACTGTGCCTAAATCCCAGCTTCATTCTTACCATTTCTACACTACCGTGGTTTGGTTTCTATCTTTGCTGATTTGGCTCATCATTGTTTATCTAAAATTGAACAAAAAGCCCAATAATTAGAATGTCTGGTTGCATGGGAAGATAAAAAGATACAGGCGCATCTGTATTTATTTCTCTGTCTGTCTATTGAATGAATGTTGCCCCAGGATTTCCAGTAAATTCTCCTCTTAAACTGAACTGTATTTCTTTCCATTTTAACATAGTTCTAGCCTCCACAACAACTTAAAATAACCACTACCACCTCTTTCATTCCTCTAAATTAGAGGAAAACAATGAGACTATCAGTGTTGTAGAAAAGTCTGGGAATTATATGTCAAAATATGCAGGGAAGGTCACTGAGTCTGGGAGCACATGGATGGCTGTCACTTGAACTGCCTCCGTCTTTCTAGGCATGAAGGCCACATTAAGAATTGCATTCAGGGCCAGGGATTCAGCTCAGTGGTTCCACCACCTAGCTCACAAGTGAAAGATCGGAGTTCTATCCCCAGTACCAAAAAAAGATTCAAAAAATGAATTGCCTTCACCATCCTTCTATGAGGCAGAGAGCTCTCTTCCAGACTCAGAAGTGACGGTCTTCAGGAAATAAAGAAAGCACATCAACTCCCAACAAGCTTGTCATGTACAAGCCAGGCTAGATTGTCAAGAACATAATTATTCCTTCAACAAATACTAAGCACCTATTATATCCCAGGATCTGAGCCAATATCAGAAACATACCAATGAGCAAGAGTAAGAACATTGCTCATACAGCTTGCATTCTAGAGGAAAGAATGGCAATAAATAATAAACATGTACTCATGAAAGTTGTATAAATTCAGATAAAGAAAAGCCATACATTTTTGTTGAATGGTACTGTAGAGGTGATCCGGCAAACTGCTCTGAGATAGGAATGTTTTAGCTCAGACCTGAAGGATAAGAAAGACTGAGCCACGTGATAAAGCTTGAGGTGGGCTCTGGTCTGTGATGAGTAGGAGGTGAGGCAACTGAAAACTAAGCTGGAGTGGTAAGTGAAGTTCAGGTGTGCCAGATGTCTAGACAGTGAAATGTTTTATATTCTGTGCAGTGGAATGCCACTGAAAGGTTTTAAGTAAGGAAGGGAAATGGTAGAAAAATTGCTTTGACTTTAGGAGTCAGGCAAAGGTGGAGTGGTACCGAAAACAGAGATAGGAAGAGTAGTAGGTGGTGTTGAGTAGTGCAGGTGAGAGATAGCCACAGTTTAGGAGGCTGTCTAGGCATCCCCGATTGTGGACAGAAAGCAAATTCAGGCCTGTGTAAGCAATCTTACCTCAAACAGCAGAAGTACCTGGGGGAAATGGGCTCTTGTATTCAATTGACCTCTCTAATGTTGTTTTGGATACTTAACATTGTTAAGAAAATTTTCCAGAAGTGTGTGGTTTTGACTTTTTGTAAAAGCCAGGATAAGACGCATTCACGAATCTTTGATAATTTGGGCCCTTCTGAGATTCTGCATTATCTTCATTAATATACTCCAGAATTGGAATTGGTGAGTTGGCCTGAAAAGTAGGCCCTCAAAGGCAAAGATGAAGAGAGTAGCTTTAGTGCCCCCTACTCACTACAATTTCTAGTAGTCCTTCCCCAAATGAGTTACCACATCATATGCTGTATAAAAACATTGTAGTTGTGACTGCTAAGGGAAAAAGAACCACCCCAAATAAGCGTACACTCTTAAGTATATGAGTTTCCAGATCTTCTTTATTGTTGACCAATTTCCCCTGGTCAGAACTGTTAACAGTTTTCTTAAATCCTACGAAATGGAATGTAAAGTCTTCTTCTGGCCTTTTAAGACCCTCCAAAGTATAGTCCCACTTTCACTTCCAGGTTCTGTTGTTCAGACACACTGGACCGCTTAGTCTCCCTTTTTACTGGCATCTGAGCTTCCACTGGTCCCTCCCACAGAAATCTCCTCAGCTCCACCCTCTTAGCAACTCTCACCTGACATCTGAACTTTCTCCCCACAAATGAATGTATCTTTTACCTTGCTAAATATCACCAACAGATTGCTCCAAGTCATTTAGGACATTTGGCTAGTTTATGTTCTGTTTTCTTTATCAAAATATTATATATACTGGTTAGAATCAGCTTCTCAAGGATAGAAATTATACCTTATACAACTTTGTATCCATTAAGGGCCTAACATTGTGCCTTACACAGACTCAGAGCTTAATAAATGTCTTTGAATTGAGTTTTAATCAATTTTATTTAGATATATATTGCAACATCTATATATTCCATGAAATGAGCAAATTTATATCTTATTATTTTAACTAACTGCATTTGAATTTAGGAGAAAGTTCTTCATCATTATATATATGAGATACACAGAACTCAGTCAGATGTAGGGCCGGGCGTGGTGGTACACGCCTGTAATCCCAGCACTCAGGAGGCTGAGGCAGGAGGATTGATGTAAATTCAAGACCAGCCTGGGCTACATAGTGAGTTCCAGGTCAGTCTCAACTACATAGTGAGACCCTGTCTCAAAAAAACCAAAAAAAAAAAAAAAAGAACTCAGTCAGATGTCATTAGTAGATTAAGAGCATAATGAGAAACAAATTGCATTATAAAATGTTTCAGTCAGTAAATCAAAACCATAAAGCAAACCATAATCTCACCTGAGAGAGGATTCACTCAGACTTCTAGGCTCTTTACCTCTCCAAAAGATAAGTCCATCATTCTCTTCCTTGACTTAAAGAAAAATCAAAAAAGTTATTTGGTCATTAATTGATTGAGTTCATGAAGAAGATGTAGGTACATGTATTGATTTGATAACTGATCATAAATACTTACAAAAACTTGCATATCCAAAATCAAGGTAGACTAGGCCTGGTGGGGCATGCCTGTAATCCCAACTCTTAGGAGGCTGAGGCAGGAGAATTGCTATGGGTTCAAGGCCATCCTGGGCTACATAGTAAGTTTAAGGCCAGTCTGAACTACATAGCAAGATCCTGTCTTTAAAAAATAAGATAAAATAAAAAGGTATGCAAAATTATAAGCTGGGCAGCATGATGAAAATAACTTTGACTTTGATATTATAACATGTACTCAAGTTTAGATCCTTTCATTAACCACCTGAGTGAACTTTACAAATTACTGCTCAAGCCTCAGTATTTTAATTTGTAAAAATGAGATGATAGTTTTTGTGAAGAGAAACAAGATATATAAATGACTCACTTGATTACTGACAGTAGGTATGCAATAAATACTAGCTCGAATTACAGTAAAAATCAAGAAACTGATCATAATTTACACCAAGAAAATGTCATTTTCTTCCCATAATGTGAGTGCATTTTGTTTATTTGGGGAAATAAATAATAATAGCGTATAATAAATATTCTGGACAAGAATCAAACTTAACATTTCCAAAAGCTACTGCAAGAGGTCAGTATTAGCTATACATTCTAGCCTGCTGTAGAGACTTAGTACTTCTCTCTAATCCCCTTGACTTCCTGAAGAAAAGCTTTGAGTCAAGGATGCACAGCAAGGAGGGAAGACAGCCCTAGCCTCTATAGAGAACTCCTTCTGGGATTTTTCTGACATTACTGTTGGCCTGCTGAAAAGGAGGAAGATACCACTGAGGCTTAAAAAAAAAATCTATACCTAGTTTTAAGTTTTTACTTAAGCCTGATTTCATCCAAGTTCACTAACCAGACTTGATCTCTCCCTCTTTTGTGTGAGGTCATTAAAAATTTGTGACAAAGCAACTTTAGTGTCAGTGTCCCTGTCTCTTTCTGTTAGCTTTAAGTTTTCATTTGCAACAGTGTTATGGAGAATTTTAGAAACATCTGTTCTCTCCACAAGTACAGTTCAACTTCTGTTTCTGTACTTGGTGAAATGTCTGATCTTGCAGACATTCCTGTCAGAGTCTGGCCCAGAAAGGCAAGAATGACAAGACAGCCCAAAGATGGAGTTACCTGCCACTGTATTCTTAGGGTGCATGTGGCAGTTCATATTCTTTAGTGGCTTGGTCGTGAAGCCTTCAGTTAGTACAATGCATGTTTGATGGGATGTTCAGCAATGCTGGCAGGCTGAGGAACATTTTTTAGAAGGGAAACAAATATACTACAAATTGAATATCTGTTTCCTCAGTTGTAGAAAGTTTATTATGTTTGTCAAAACCTACTCCTGTGGGGAAACTTTCATGCTTCCCTATATAAAAACTGCCCATAAACCTGAGAGATTCATTAGTGCTGTGTTGTTTTATTTAGTTTTAGGAATAGCCCCCACATCATTTTGGGAAATGTTCTAGGTTGAAGATAGATAGTCCTTGATTGAATTTATATTTTATGAAATTATGTTTCATTCTTTGGAGATTAGTCCATTTTACTTGATGCCAACACAGTATTTCAAAATATACCACTCAATCTTTAAGGTTTCTTCCATGAGTCTAGCACTTCAGTGACTATTAGCTGGTCATTGAATAGCCACAGGTATCTATCCAAGTTTATTAAGTTAAATTAAAATTCAGTTACATTTTAAGTGCTCAGTGGCCACGGGTAGCAGTATTAAACATAGACTAGATGTAAAACATTTCCACCACTGTAGAAGGTCCTATTGGCAATGCTATTCTACCATGTACCTGAACCTCAGTAATTAATAATCTGATCTATTTGAGAGCTTTAGCTACTAATGCATTTCACCACCATCACTCTGTTCCCATCAGCAATGTGTATTTAGAGTTTGCTATAGTTTGGATCTGAAATGTTTCTCAAAGACTCCTATGTAAAAGGCTTGGTCCCTAGCCCATGGCACTATTGAAAGGTGGTAAAACCTTTAAAAGTAGAGCAGGGTATGGTGGCGCATACCTGTAATCCCAGCACTGGGGAGGCTGAGGCAGGAGGATCACTGTGAGTTTGAGGTCAGGTAGGGCTACAAAGCCAGCCTGAACTACAAAGTGAGACCTTGTTACCTTAAGAAAAAAAAAATACACACACTCATATGGCGCCTAGTGAGAGGAAGTTAGGTCATTAGGAGAGTGCTCTTGAGGGGGATATTAGGACTCCAGCCCTTCCTGTCTTTCTCTTTGCCTCTTAACTTCCATGAAGTAAGCAGCTTGCTTTGCCATGAGCTCCCCTCCATAATATGCGGCCTTGCCACAAGCCCAAAAGCAACAAGGCCAACTAACCATGGACTGAAACTTCCAAAACTTTGACCCCCCAAAAAAAATTAAAAATAAATTTTAAAAAAGGAGGCCAGGGATTTAGCTCAGTGGTTCTGCTGCCTGCCTTGCAAGCACAAGGTCCTGAGTTCGACACTCAGTACAAAACAAAAACAAAAACACACCACAAAAATGTGACCCAAAACTTTTCCTCTTTAATTGATTTATCTCAGATTCATTTGTTAAAATAATAGGAAGCTGGCTACCAGTTTAATGTGTCCTCTTTCATCTAAATGTAAAAAAAGCTAAGCTAAGTATGACCTATATAATGGCACATATATATATATATATATACACATACATACATACACACACACACACACACACTAAGGAGAAAAAAATTTCTGTTTGTCTATATCTCTAGAAAAGTTGGGCCTAACTAGGAATCCTGTAAAAGTTTGATGATTTAATCTAAGTATTTTTACTATAAATATTTGCAATTTTGTGCTTCCTTTGTTTAGATGATTGAGTTGACTAAAGTGTGGACACCTTTGCCACATGATAAAAATATTCCCTAGGCTTTCACCCAAGAGGTTCAGAGTCGGTCATAATAATTATCTATATTTCAATGCTCAGTAGTTGGTGCTTTCTCTAGGCATTATATCATCATCAACATTAAAGATTTTGTTAATGACCATTGATAAATAGATGGTCAGACAGGCTTGAGCCTAACTCCTCCTTCAGAATCACATATCACAGAATGTCTGGGAGGTGGGACATGGATACCTATATACAGCAACACCTAGTGCAGGAAACACAGCTTGGAGACCAGAAATACAGAGTGCATCACAAAGAGAACGTCTTTATCCTGTGATATGTGTTATGGCTCCTTGTGACAATGGCAGCTTTGTGTTTCATAAACCCTTGAACAAAAGTGTCAGATGGGACCTTTGGGGATGAAAAATAGCCATGTGCATTGTCACAATATAAACTCTTTGTTAGTTTAACATCATTTGCAAAGTTTCTGGGGATTTAAATTTCATAAAACTTATACCATTTTTACTATACATTTTTTAAAGTGTGTTTTTATGCTCCTCTAGATATTAGAGGAAAAAAAACAAGAATAATTATGCTTGTGGACAAGGATAAATATGCATTTAAGGCAACCAACACCAGTTAGATGCCTTAATTAGGCTGACAAGAGACCTGGTGAGCAACCAGGGATTTAATAAGCCTGCTAATGACAACTTCTACTAACAGTTTCCATGCTGCAGCATGTCAGCATGGAAAGGTTCTTGTCAATGAAAGCATGCAAACACCATAAAATTTTCTCACATTTCATAGCTATTGAATAGTCCAAGAGTCTGAGTCCAGCTTTCAGTGGAGTGCAGTTGAGGGAATGGGGTTGGTTTGGGCTAAGCTAGTTATGCTGGCTGGAGCCACAAGTAGAAGGGCTTAGCCACAGACAGCGTTGGATCTTCATTCTTCCCTTTCCCTTCTGTGTAAGAGTGTAGTCTTAAAGACTGACTCCAGTAAGTCAGCCATCCCAGCTGAATGCCCAGCCCTGACCACACGAGCTCTGTGAAACTAGTGACAAAAGTGAAGAAACTGAGGCTCACACAGGTTAAGTGACTGCTATAGAAGGTCATACAAACAGGAAATGTGAGGGTACGTGTATCAAACCTGGTCTAGGTCAAGTCTAAAGTCAATGCTCTTTTTTCTTTGCTTTTCACCAATTTGCAATTATAGGGGTAGATATCTTAAAAGAAATATATCTATTTAAGTATAATTATATCTATGTGTATTTATTCATATCTCTCTATAAATCTGAGTTTTTTGTTTGTTTGTTTGTTTGTTTTTCTCACAACAGTCCTGACCCCAAATGTGTATGAGTTTTACTCCACCACAAAACCAATTCTTCAATTCTCTGGACACCAACAAGTTGTCCTACAGTTCATTTCAGTTCTGACACTTGCTAGCACAGGCCTTGCAAGTTAAAGGTTCTCCCTCCGTTCCTCTTTTTTTCCTTCCTTCCACTTCTCCTTTCTCCCTTCCTCATTTTTTCCCTCCCTCATTCCTCCCTTCATTCCTTTTCTCCCTTCCTTTGCTTCATTTCTTTCCTTCTTATACACCCTTTACTCTTTGCAAATTGTGCCCTAGTACTGTGGTACTGATGATTGATTGATTGCTTGGTTCATCTCAATGTAAAGAACATTAGGGTTTTTTTCTGTTTTTTGTTTGTTTTGTTTTGTTTTTTTGGTACCGGTGATCAAATTTGGGTCCTTGCGCTTGCAAGGCAGGTAGCAGAACCACTGAACTAAATCCCCAGCCCTTAGTTTAGTTTTGTTTTTTTTAACTTATAACAAAACTGGTTTTTTAAAAATGTTATTTCAATAAATATAATACATATCCTTTTTGGAGATGGAGGAAAGATGGCAAGGAACATAAACAGAATCAAGATGCTATATGTGTGTGCCCCAACTCCCCATGATGAATACAAAGATGTAATAATAAAAACTAAGTCGGGGCCAGGGATGTAGCTCAGTGGTATCACACCTGCCTGGCCTGCACAAGGTCCTGAGTATTGAAATATCAATCCCTGGTATAAAAAAAAATAAGTTAAAAAAGAAAAGCTGCTTATATATCTGATAAATATTACATACCATTTTTGTTAGCACTGACATGATGAAATGGAAAAAGGAATTTCCTGACACCTTTTGATTTTTCACACTTTTTTTTCAAACCAGGTGAAGAATAGATGATACGAATGTGTTGATTGATTTCTCTATCTGGTGAACTCAGAAATTCTGGGTAATCATCAATCTGAAAGAAAATTAATTGAGTGTATTAGAAACAAATATGACTACTTACACAGTTGGGGTTAATAAATCTACCATCACCAAGAGCAAGTTTAAACTAATTTTTTTTCTTTTCATATGCTCCACTGGGACATCTTTCCTTTTAAGTTTGCCAATTCTTCCTTCACTTGTTTCAGTCTTCAATAAAAAGGTGCTCAGCAGCACTTAGTAACCAGAGGTAGGAGGATGGTGAGTTGGGGACTAGACTGGTTTACATCACAAGTTCAAGGCTTCCCTTGACTACACAGGGTGACCCTATCTTTACACACACACACACACACACACACACACACACACACAGATATACACACACACACCCCAAAAATAGAAAATTCCCTTAGCAATAGAACCCAAAAAACTATTTACACTATAGGATTACTAACTAAATAGTAACAGGATTTTTATGTGTTAAAATAGATCACTCTCCATTTCCATTTTAAAAATGGATTGTTTTTTAAAAGTCTCAAAAATATACAATTAATTGTGTTTAAACTACGATTTTTCAATGCAAAAGACAGTGTCCTGCAATAGTCTACAGAGATTCTAAGTATGTTTAGGTTTGAAATGTTAGAAATATGTTCTGCTTTCTCCAAAGTGCTCTGTTTTCTATTCTTGATTTTAAAATGGAAAATATATTAATAAATACTGAGGAGTTTTAGGTTTTCTCTTCAATAACCTGCTTCCGTTTTAGGACAGCAGTGACAATATCTGATTGGAAAATTAGGAATAAATTCAGAGGCTCAGTAGAGGCATATATAAAACCACTTAATTCAAGAATCAGAAGGAATTCCACTATAGACATTTTCCAAGAACTTAGAATTTAGACAAAAAATATGATCCTATGATCATGCAGTTTCATCTTTCTCATTACAAAATATAAGAAGGAAATATTAAATAATAAAAATTTAAAAGTCCAACTTAGAGTAACTGAAGACAACAGATCAATGAAAAGCTACCAATTTCTATTCAAATTCAATTTATAAAAATTATTTTCAGGAGATCAATTGCCTAGCATGTGTGAGGCTCTGAGTTTTATTGTTAGTATTGAAAAAAAAGATGGTGTGTGACTACTGTATGAAGTGGAAAGTACATGGGACCTACAATAAGCATTCTTGCCCTTCCAAAAATGGACTTGGCTTTCTATCATCCTAGTTTATAGGAAACAGGATAGAGAAACATACTAAAGGGCCCAACAGAAATGCAATTACAAAAATTCAAAATGTGGAAAATGTTCCATTATAAGTTACTGTGTGCTACTGCTTATATCTATATGTCCCTGCAAATCCTCATGCAGTCATAGGTGAGGTTTTTCTGAAGTGGCTGGATCTAGGTGTGTGCTGCTGGGATCAAGGATGTCATGCTGGAACTGATTAGTGGTGTGATGCTAGGATTAAGGCTGCCCCACTCTGGGTGTGAGAGCTACCTGTGCTAAGAATGGGTAGCCTGGATAGGACATAAGGGAGAGAAAGAAGGTCAGTTGTCTCTTGCGGCTTGCTGTTTGCTGCCTTCTGCTTGCCATGAACTATTTCTCCCCTCTGTCATTCCACCCTGCCTTGGAGCCAGCCAACTATGAACTAAAATCTCTGCAAAGTGTGAGCCAAATAAACCTTTCCTCCTTTAACTTTGAGTGTTGGATATTTTGTCTCAGCAACAAGAAAAGTAACTAAGAAGCCAGGCATGGTGGTGCATGCCTGTAATCCCAGCAATTGGAAGACTGAGGCAGAAGAATTGCTGTGCGTTTAAGGCCGGTCTGGTCTACATAGTGAGCTCAAGACCAGCCTGAACTACATAGTAAGATCCTGTCTCACAACACAAAATAAAAAAGTAACAAGACGCCAGATTTCTCTAGCAAATAAATGCCAGGAATAAAGAGAAAGGAAGAACTATAGTAAATTAAAAGGAATTTAAAACTGAAAGAATGTAAATATGCTTCTAATAAAATAAAGCAATTTGCAAAAAAGCGGGGGTAAGAAAAAGATCAACCAATGAGGTGTAGGCATTTTTTGGATCTTGATTTTAACAAATCCACTTATAAAAGACATTTCTGAGCAAGTTGGGGATATTTGGACTGTTTCATGTTATTAAAGTATTATTGTTAATTTTTAGGTGGCATTACTAATAGCATTAGTTTTAGTTGACCTTATTTCTTGAAGTATATATCTTTAAGAGGTATCTACCAATAAAATATGATGTTTGAGAACTCTTTTAAGATAATCCTCCAGTGGAAAAATACATGGTAAATAGATAAAACATGATCAGCTGTTCATATAATAAAAAAACTAATGATGAGCATTTGGAAGTTCATTATACTTTTCATTTTAGGTTTCAGATTTCGAATTTTCCATAAGAAAAAGTTAATAAAAGACAGAGATAATAATCAATTACAATATGTGCTTAGTGTTTAGATCTTAGAACAAACTGTAAAAGAAATCCTGAGACAGAAAGGTTATATGGCCCTCCTGGAAGCAAGGCGCTGCTTGGTTCTACTGATTTGCGTTTAGACATACTGTAAAGAACTGATTAAACACATGCTATTTCCTCATTTTGTCCTTTTTCTTTTTGTGGAAAGTTCCATTCATTCTTTAAGATCAAGCTTTTCATTTCTTCTATGAAATTTCACCTGTGTCATTCCTTTGACAGAATGTCACCTCTTTTTCTGGGTTTATACAATATTCTCTTTATTATATCTATTTTCACATTTCATTATAACTATCTCCTTGTACTGTCTTTTTTACTTCCTCTTCTTTTTTCTTTTTTGTTTTTAGTACTGGGGATCAAACTCAGGACCTTGCAAGGCAGGAGTGGCACCACTGAGCTAAATCCCTGGCCCCTATAATTATTTCTTTATAGCTGTTTTTCTTCTGTCTCATTTGCTTGCTTTCCTTTCTAAATTATGAGCTACTCAAAAACAGACACCATTTTTAATCTGTTTTTGTATTTTTAGTTCCTGCTAATCAAAACATTGGTGAAATATCCCATACAAAATCTAATATTCATTCAGCACAGGTGTACACAGGGTAAAGTCTGAAGGTCATCTGCATTTGAAGATGATTTTACTTAATGGGCTATTAAGTAGTAGAAGGCCCAGCCAGAGCTAAATTGTTTGACATCTTCCAACTTCCATGGTCCTTTCAGGATTTAATGTCCTCTGAGCACAATAAGCTTTAACCTTGTTTAGTCTCCAATAAAGGAAGAAAAACAAGTAATTAACTAATTACTGGAGCTGGATTGACATTCCACCTCAGATGTTTTCTGAATATGTTTTCAATGTAATTAATTAATTACTATGAGCTACCTTTTCCAAGAATATTTTAAAGGAGAACCAATAGCAAACCCAAATAACTGAATACACTGATAAAGTGGCCAATATTGGAGGCATTTTGAGTGGATTTTTTTTCTGAAATTAAATATGTTAGCAATTACCTCTACACATTGCACATATACTCAGTCCTAAGTACAAGCTATTTTTACATTTAGAACTTGGCAAATTCTCACATTGTCATAATTAAAAAACTCAGTGTAGCCTCTACCAGGTGGTTTTTCCATTATACTCTATCTGAAATGTAGTATACCAATCCCTAAGGAAGTCTGAGTAGGTGAGATGTTTTTAGAATCTGTGAATATTGCTAGCATGAAGTGATCACCCACATATTACAAAAGGAATTACCAGCTGAGAATTAGTTGGTGCCCCATCAAAATATCAAAGCCAGGCCGTGGATTTAGCTCAGCAGTTCGGTGGCCTGCCTTGCAAGAGCAAGGACCGAGTTCAATCCCCAGAACCAAAAAAAAAAAAAAAAAAAACAAAAAAACCCCCCATTTTATATGTAAGACTTGAAAAATCATTGCCTGAGGGCCTAGAACCATAGCTAAGACTAAAAAAAAAAAAAATCATTTCATGTCTTGGGCTTGTGAGAAGAATGCTACTTCTCACCTGGGCTTTTTCAGTCAAGGCTGTCTTTGAACCTCATGGTACTAGTTTCAGCTTTAAAAGACAACAATCTTGGCCTGGGGATTTAGCTCAGTGGTTCCACCACCTGCCTCATAAGTGCAAAGTCCCGAGTTCGATCCCCAGTACAAAACAAAAAAACAAACACGGGACAACAATCTTCACTACTGAGTAATGGTCTGGAGGAGTGTAAAGGGCACCTTGAACAAGTTCATCCCCTCCTCCCTTGGTGACCTCTGCCCAGGAACCACATAATTCACTTACTCAGGTAACTATGTCGTCTCTTTTGCAAAACGTAAAACCTCCTAAAGAAACAGCATAAATTTACAAGGCCAGTTGTTTCCAGATGCATTGTAACCTTTAATCTTGATATGGAAACCTTATGGTATTAAGAAACACCTAGCATATACGTATAGCATCCTCCTGGATATGTCCAGATGGGTCATGGAGGTGTGGCCTTGGGTGCTATACATGGTGTCTGGACCCTCTTCTGGAGCTCTTCTGCTCTTATTCCTGGCTATCATGAACTAAGCACCTTTGCTCTGCCATGCCCTCCCTCTGTGATGTTTCTTCCTTGTTCCGTTCAACTGTGGACTAAAGCCATGGGCCAAATTAAACCTCTCCTCTTTTAAATCATGAGGACCCTGTATTGTGTCCAAAGATGGAAAAGCTTTACATACATAGCAGTTTTATTGACTTTGAGGGCAAAAGGCTTGGATTTACATTTCAACTCAGATGTTTTTTGAAAATATGACCCACAACAACTATTTGCCACTTCTCTGCCTATTTCCTTTTCTGTAAAATATAACATTATCTTCCTTATAAAGTTAATAAGATTAAGTGAGGTAATCTATTTGAAATGTTTTGCCCAAGGCTGACATATAATACATGCTCAGTCAGTATTGGTCATTATTAATGATTATGGTTTAGATTGAGAATGTCCCCCCAAAGCCTCATGCACTCAGAAGTGTGGCTTTTGGAAGGTGATGGGTTTATGGAGGCTCTGTATTCATCAATGG